GCTCTCTTGTTCTATTTATACTCTTTGTTTTTACCAACTGTTGCGAGCCGCGCACAATCACCTTTCGTTCAATCCGCCCGCTGCGCTTTTTTTAAATGGTCGTTCCATTGCTTTATACTTCCGAGCCGCGCGTAAGTTCTATTTTTTTTAACACTATCTCCAGCTTCAGGAGGGCGGAAGCGTCAAAGGAAACTAAGTCCCCAGCAACACACTCACAATGGGAGAGGTGTTTGCGTTGGAGGTTCGCCCCAGAAGCAATAGATCGTTGTACTCGGCCCAAGAAAAAATCCTATTTAAAATGTAGGTGGTGTAACATTCAAGGGCACATGAAAGTAAAGCAACATGAGTCAGGAAATGTGAGGGGACCTTTACCTTTATAGATTGGCAGTAGATAGCTACACAGCCAGAGAGTGGTGCAGCACCATTAAAGAAACAATATTTAATTATGTATTGTAAGGGTAAAAAAAATATGTCCTCACAGTTCTTGAGAATATCAAATGATAGACCGTCAGGGCCTGCCGCCTTTCGATCTTACATGCCTAATGGGAGTTAAAATTTTCTAATGCGGAAATGTCATCATCAAGCAAGTTATCAACAACAACAACTGGTGCTTATCAGGATAATATCAGGAGGCACCTGGACAGCTGAAACTCATGTGTTCCGCGATTTCCAGTCACCAGAACTTTCCGATACTAGCTTATGCCTTTGCGACCTGATCCTTAATCATTTTCTCATCGAATGCCACATTCTTTGGCGTTTTAAACATTGAAATTTACGTACGAGGTATTCGCGTTCATTCGCCAAGTGTGGAGAAGGATCGTGACAATAATTACGGTACGAATTACGGACTTGTGTTTTAGTTCAAAGCACTGCGAGTCAAACCAGAAAGGATTTCATCGCACGTTTTACAGTTTGGGACCTCCTAACACACTCGTATATGTTAATAGTTAACAGCTTCCATGGCGTTTCTTGTTGGGTCGTTTTCGCTTTCAAGAATGTTAGAAGCCGGAGGAGATCTGGAGATATTGAGTCGGTTAATTGATCTATTCACTTTGCGTATCGCTTTCACTCGTTTCCTAAAGCTATTAATCGAGTCCACAAACTTTGTTTCAAGTGACGACATGACCATAAATCCAGCATCACTAAGATATTTTTGTAGCTCACGTCGTCAATTCCCATTATCCAACCTACAGTTAAAGTCCCCAGCAATTAATACAGTCGGAATGCCAGGTGATCTCAATATCTCGGCTTCAATGATTTCAGCAAAAATAGAATTTACTGGTATTCCCGGGGGAAAAAACACGCCATCAAACAAACTGAAAATGGCTTCATAAATATCAAGTTATCGTTGGCCTTAATTATTAATGGTCGTCTCATTACTACGGTTATGTGTATATTTATTGATTTTGTAATGCAAGCAATATATGCAGTAGCTCGACGCAATAATCAAGACGCTCAAACAGCTAATTCACAGTAAGTACAATGCATGGATATTGAAATTAATGTCCATTTTAGTTCAATGTAATTACAGAATCATTCATATAATTTTCTTAGTTATCCACATATTATTAGACTTATTAGCTTATTTCAGCTCCAACATTAGAAAAGTTCTCCATTGCCATTATCTTGTACTTGTACCGAATTTCTCTCGAATGGGTTAAACTGGCTGATTCTTCCCAGTTTGCTTAAACATTGTTTAAGTTCTCAAAATTACGTTCTCATTTGTTGGACGAACCAAACATAGACAAATTCCATGTGATTCATGTGTATTTCCGTCAGCAATCAGTGCCATCGGAACCGCACCGGCTTTGGCTTTAAAGATCAATTTCCGGACCGGGATTTTAGTCGTGGTCTTTAGCAGTTTTGGTCTGTAATTAGAATCTCTACAATTAAAGACCGGCTCTAAAAGTAGTCTTTAAATATCTATATTTAGAGGGAAATCAAGAATGTTAGAATGGATTTACAGTTACTGTGTGCTGTTGTTGTTTTTATGGTATGTCGGAGTGATCGAGTTCAATTTGATTCCCCCCCCCCTTTTTTTTTTATTATATCATCGTTACACCGATATATGGGATATGGCTCCAGTCCCACTTGACCCTATCCATTGGAGATTCAGAACCGTATGACGGAGGTCACAGGTTCAAATCCCAAAGAGGTCCAATTTGATTTTCCTCTTATTTCGTATTATATCATTGTTACGTTGATAGGGTATGGCTTCCATTGTACTCAGTCAGTCAGAGCGTCCACATAGTATGTTGGAAGAATCAGTTAGAACTTCCGAACAATATGAAGGAGGTTCCGGGTTCAAATCCCAAAGAGGTCCACTTTCATTTTCTTATTTTTTTTTAAATCACCGTTACATTGATGGGGTTTGATTGCAATTCAATTTGACCTCCATAACTCAGTCGGTCATAGTATCTACAACGTATGAAGGAGGTCCCGGGTTCAAATCCAAAAAAAAAGAGGTCCAATTTGATTTTCCTCTTATTTCGTATTATATTATCGTCACGTTGATTTGGTATGACTCCTACTGGACCCCATATCTCAGTCGGTTAGTGCACTCACAAAGTATGTCAGAGGCCTCGGGCTCAAATCATGAGGAGTCGAACTTGATTTGTTTGATTGAACTGAATTTGTTCGATGGATCCGTGGCAGTCGATTGATTGACTGCATTTAATAATTGCGAGCTTTTACTGTTTGTGAAATCATGAACCAATAGATAATCAGAATATAATCGACATTAAATCTGTAATCTTCATCCACGTCATGTTTTATTTCTACATCACTTCTGAAGATAATGATAAAATGAATGTAGCCTTATTAAAACAACAAACTGATATAATCTGAACTGCATAATTATGATACATATAACATTGATTATAAGGCATGGTTTACACATGTAATAGGTATGCCACCTACTGTACCTTGCAGATCATTACCAGGTGAATAACATAAATGAATAATTGAAAGAGTACTAAAGAGTACACCTCCCATCACAAAGTGTATTTAAAAACAAAGAAACTGCTAATTGTGTATATATAGGAAATTAACATACATACGTTATTATGGTGGTATAGCGAATTGCTTTGTTTCTGTTTTACTTATTTTCTCCAAAATATATCTTGGATTGTAAACCACCCATACCCCTCTGGAGTACAAGCCACGCATTTGCCCATTTTGAGTGCCCAATTATCCTCCTGATCTCTGGTAGTATAAGGCCACTGCATGCTCCGAATTTCATAAGTTTTCTGACACTGATTAATCCAGGTTGCCCTGATGATATGTGTATTTGGTATTTTGGATATGTGACGATTTGTTATTGTTGAGTTTGCTCACTTTAAGCAGGTTATTAAATGTACGGCAAATATAAATAAGCCAAAAGAACACTGATTTTTGGCATAGTAGCCTAAATGTTGCATATGGCATACTATATAAAGGTGCAATTACTGTTTTAGCATCGGCGCTCAGCAAAGAATATATAATATCCTTACAGCAAACATATCAGCGACAGATTGTAATGTTAAGTGGTCACCGTATGTTCTATGCATTAACATATCCTCCACATTTTTTTCCCTACAACCAGCAGAATAGAAATGTGAACCAGACCCCATCAACATGACGATGATAATTATAATACGAAATAAGAGGAAAATCAAAATTGAATTTATTGGGATTTGAACCCGGGACCTCTGCCATACTGTTCGGAAGTTATAATGGAAGTTCTAACTAGCTTCGACGGATATCCGCATCGACATAACGATGATATAATATGAAATAAGTCAAACAAATCAAATTAGACCCCTTAAGATTTGAACACGAGACCTCCTACATGCCATATTGATGATCTGACCGACTGGGGGCCTAGAATTAAAGCCATATCCCCATCGTCGGACATAAAATTTTATAGTCCAAAAAAATATCAACTTGGGCCTCTTCTGGATTTGGACTTGACACCCTCCAATGGCACTGGAGCCTTGGCTGTTGGGGTTGGAACAATTCCATCAATGTAAAGATGACACAATACGGAACAGGAGGGAAAATCAAATTCGATCCCGGAGAAAAATGAGAATTTAAAAAAAATCTATAGATGATGACATGGATCGAGTTTTATTACAAAGTGCGACAGAGGTTATTACAAAGTGCGACAGCTCATTTTATTACAAAGTGCGGCAGACAATTATTACAAAGTGCAACAGCTCAGATTACAAAGTGCGACAGACTTTATTACAATGTGCGACGGTTATTACAAAGTGCGACAGACTTGATTACAAAGTGCGACTCTTGCCTTCCTTGTTCTTCCCGCGATGTTATGAATACAGCTATTCTAGTGATGAACACATTTTCTAAGTGAATTTGGAAAAAATATACACAGATATGTTTATTTGTTACCGCATTTTGGGATGATGTAAAAACTGAATTTCTAAAGAACAGTATTTTTTAGGGAAATACTATGATTATGGTAAAATATTGTATTTTTTAAAATTACTATTGTGTGAATGGACTGTACAATAGCTGGTTTGATGGGCTGACACGCTTGTATGGCGGCTAGGCTGTGTTTTGTAGTGGGTGTTTACTAATTGGTCGTGTGGGTAATTGTGGACCGCCTAGAGGGTGGTGTTTGTTAATATGCAGCCTGTATATGACTAATTGTATTATTGTTTTTAATTGTTGTTCATTTTCACATCATAATATATTTAAGTAAGTTTATATTATTAGACCTACATGCCTAGATAATTGCAGAAATGTTAATTAGCAATAGTTTTTATGTGCACATTACTAGTACAGTATAAATTAATAAGGTTATGTGTGGTTATAATGACTAAAAAAAAATTGTTGATACTAATTAAGGCAGTGTGATAAAATTTCCTCTAGTATTAGGCCTTTCACAAAAACAACTAAAGTGTTAGGCTAGTTATTGTATTAATTTAGGTTATTATATTACTATCAAAATAATTATTATACTTATAGGCCCTATCTTTTTTTTATTTGTACAGATTCCGCAGAAATACAGTATGCGAATGACGAATTGCGCCTTGTGACCACTGAAACCATGCAAAGGGCTATCGATGCTTGTAAAAGAGAAGAGATTAGTCTAATTAACTAAATAATATAGA